AGGGAGAAGCAGGCTCCTCGCTGAGCCAGGAGCCCGATGTGGGGCTCGATCCCAGGACCCTGGGATCATGACCTGAGCCGAAGGCAGACGTTTAACCATCTGAGCCACCCAGGCGCCCAACCAGAATCTTTCAAAACCAGTAAGGTCATGGCACTCCTTTGCTTGAAACCCTCCAAGGGTTCCCTGTCTCACTCAGAATAAAAGCCAAAGACTTACAGTGGTGTACAAGGCCCTGTGTCATCCTCACCCCCACCACATCCTCCACTGCTCTCCCCCTACTCACTCTACTTCAGGCACACCCCCACCACTCCTCTTAGGACCTTTGTCCTGGCTACTCCCTCTGCCTGGGGCACTCTTCCCCCAGATAGCCACATGATTGAGTCCCTTGCTTCCTTCAGATCCTTGCTCAAAGATCACCTTCTTGAAGAATCTGAACTTCCACCCATATCCCCTTACCTGGAGAAACTTTTTCAAAGCACTCATCACCTTTGCTGTGGTTTTTCATTATTGCCTGAAATCCCCACCTGACCCCACTCCCCAGCACCAAGAATGTTGACTGAGGAGGGCAGGGATTTTTTTTTTTTTTTTAAGATTTTGTTTATTTTACAGAGAGAGAGAGAGCACAAACAGGGGGAGCAGCAGAGGGAGAAGGAGAAGCAGACTCCCCACCGAGCAAGAAGCCCTATGCGGAGCTCGATCCCAGGACCCTGGGATCATGACCTGAGCTGAAGGCAGACGCTTAACCGACTGAGCCACCCAGGCGCCCCAAAGGAGGGCAGGGATTTTTGCTTATTCGGCTAGTTAACTAACATGGCCCAAGCTTCTAGAACAGTGCCTGGCGTATGGCAGACCCTCAATAAGTACTGGCTACACGAATGAATGAATGAATGAATGGATGGATGTAACCCAAGAGTCATGGAATACTGCTGGCTCATGTCAGCTAACAACCAGAGCTACTTTTCTATATCAACTTTCATCTAGTAAAGAGTTCCCCCAAACCTCAAATTATGCAATTAACATTTTCAACCTAAGCACAGGACTTCATATTGATCTCCTTTAAATCTACTAGTTCTGGTCCAAATTTCATCCTATTGAGGTCATTTTGAGTATTCATTCTATTATCATAGAATTTGACTTCCCTTCCCAGTTTTGAATCATCAGTAAATTTGGTAATCATTTCTTAGCCTTTATCCGAGTCACTGATAAAAAATATTGGGTGTCAGGGGTGCCTGGCTGGCTCAGTCGGTAGAGCGTGAGGCTCTTGATCTTGGGGTTGTAAGTTCAATCCCCATGTTGGGTGTAGAGACTACTTAAAATCTTAAAAAAAAAAAAAAAATACTAGGTGAGCAGACCTATTGCCCACTCTCCAACAAAAGGTACCAGGTCTCCCTAGGGAAGGCAAGCCTGGGACATTTTGTTGGGCCAAAAAGCAAGGAAGTGATGAAAGACTAATGGGGGGGGCGCCTGGGTGGCTCAGTTGGTTGGGCAACTGCCTTCGGCTCAGGTCAT